GCCCTAGTGTCATCTGGACTGGTTTAGACCCATTGAGTTTGGTTAGAAATTCCCACTACAAAAATTCTCTTTACTCTTAGGGATTTGCTGTTTATGAAAGTAGATAAAGTGGCTTTGGTGTCCACCAGTACTACACCGATTCTTCATTAATTTTTATCTTAGTTTCCCCTTGTTCATTTAGAGGTATTATGGGGAGCAACTTTCCAATGGATCCCTTGGGGCCTCATCAATGATGATTATTATTTTGGAAATAAAATCTTTCAAGACTTCTCTGATGGAAGAACAGTCTGGCAAAAGGTGGAGGTCTATTAAAGGACGGGTTCTGTAGGGGCATTCCCTTTTCCAGTACCCTGGTTGTTTACAATGAAGGCAGAGATTTCAGGGCACAGTGTTCCTGAGTGGAGGACTTCTAGATTCTGGCTTGGAATGTGTATGTGAAGGTCCTCCTCTCGGTCCTTGGAGCTCTTGTTACTGTGGGGCCATGTTTATTGGCTTTAAAAATTTTACCTTGCTACAAGGTTTTCTCAAAATGCTCAGCTAATTCAGCGAGAGGGGCAGCTTTCCAGCCCAGCTTATGTCTTTTTATTAGGCTACTTAGTTCAGACTGGAGCCTGCTAATGAATACAGAAGTCAGGGCTTTTTCTGTGCTTGGGTTTAATAAAGAAAGCCCAGAATGTTGCACACAAAAGGTTTCTAGTCTTGTGTTATAGTCTGAGATTGGTTCACCCTTTTTGTTTTTGTTTGCAAGGTTGGATGATAGACCAATCAGTCTTTTAAATAAATACCTCATCAGTACTTTCAGCTAGGTCTTGCCATATCAGGAAAGTGAAAAGGTTCTAACTTTTCCATATCCTCAAACTCATGGTTGTGGAGTGGTGTCTCATTGTGGTTTTGATATGCATTTCCCAATGACTAATGATACTGAGCTTCTTTTTAAAAAATTTTTTTTGATCGATTTTAATGAGAGAGAGAGAGGGAGGGATAAAGAAAGAGAGAGAGAGAAAGACATTGATTTGCTGTTTCACTCATTTATGCATTCACTGATTGATTCTTGTATGTGCCCCTACCAAGGATTGAGCCCACAACCTTGGCGTTTGGGTATGATGCTCAAATCAACTGAGCTACATTGGCCAGGACTTGAGCATCTTTTCATGTGCTTATTGGCCATTTTATATCTTCTTTAGAGAAGAGTTTGTTCAAACCTTTTGCCCATTTCTTAATTGGGTTATTTTAAAAATTAAGTTTAAATTCTTTATTCTAGATTCAAGTTCTTTATCAGATATATGATTTTCACTTTTTCTTTTTGTGGATTGTCTTTTCACTTTCTTGATAGTGTATGTTGAAACAAAAGTTTTTAATTTTGATGAAGTTTATCTGCATTTTCTTTTGTTGCTTTTGATGTCAGTTCAAAGAAACCATTGCCCAATCAGTGTCATAAAGATTTATGCTTGTTTTCATCTAAGAGGTTATATTTATAGTTTTAGCTTTTACATTTAGGTGATTGATCCATTTTGAGTTAATGTTTGCTTATGGTGTGAGGGATTCAACTTCTTTTGCATGTGGATACCAGTTTTCCCAGCACTATTTTTTTTTTTAAAGACAATTTTTTTCCCTTTGAGTTTTCTTGACAGTCTGTTTTTATTCAGGTACCTCAGCATAAGGAATTGGATAGTTGAATTGAAGTAAAAGTGTTATGTGGAATCAATTGGTATCATAGTCCAAACTATTTTCTATGAATATTCATTTTGAACCCCCTAGCAATGTGGCTTTTTTCCTAGACTTTTTGGAAAAGTGGTTTGAAACTGTTTGTTTGCTTTTTGACTTAGCAGAGAGCAATATAAACCTAACAAAGACATTCAGAGCTCTCCATTTGCTTATTCATGTAGGTCAGTAAAAGCAAATCTTGATTATGCCACAAAATGTATATATATTTTTAGTGTTTGCCTGGATATTGACTTTATGACATTGAACAAGTTATTGCACTTTTTCCTTAATCTGAAAAATGGTTTTAATAACATTTTATATTTTCTTATTTCCATTCCTCATTCCCCTCCCCCCCCCAAATAAAAACAGTCCTTGTGCAGATAGCGCAGAAAAATTCCAAAGGAAAGTAAAAGTCCATCCTTTCCCACTAAGTCTCACTCCTGATATAACTGCCTTAAACTCTTTTATTTTTAATTTTTAGGTAAATTCCCAAACTTAAAAATACCGCATCTCTTTTTATATCTTAATTTTTCTTTGAATTCTAAACAGTATCTGTTGCTTGACTTTCTAGTAAATATCAAATTTAGGTCATTATGTTTTCCACTTTGTTTCTAATTCTGCTGTTACATTTTTTTGGTTCCTATTCAGGTGTTGATTATTCTTAACTTTTTGCAGCAAATTTCTGTTTCTTGGCCTATCAGTTTCAGACAATACATCTTCCATTCAGAGCATTTAACACCTATCTATTTCTCTTTGTTTTTTTCTACCTCCACACTTCCTTTTCTTCCAACCTTAATTTTCTGTTTATTGTCAAGATTTATATTATTTGGTTTATAACTCTTGCACACTTTTTGTACTTCTAAAGGAGATTCTAGAGTACTAATAACTAGCCTTTGTTATGTAAATATTAATCACGGTTAGAACCAAGTAGAGTGGAGCTATAGAGGAAATTCTGTTAAGTAAAACCTGTGCTGCCCTGGCCAATGTTGCTCAATTGATTGGGTGTTGTCCTATGCACCAAGCAGTTGCTGGTTCCATGCCCTGGTTGCAGGCTCGATTCCTGGTAGGCAGGCGGTGTGCAAGAGGCAGCTGATTGATATTGCGGTTTCATATCTATGTTTCTCCTCCCTTCCTCTCTCTCTAAAAATCAATAAATTATTCTTTAAAAATAGTATAAACCTCTGCTCCTTAAAGGAGAAATATAACAAAGTCCCGCTTGATTGAGGAACGCTCATGGACATTATTTTTTAAATTTGGTATTACAATGTGTTCTCATCTTGTAGCCATTCAGTTTTTCTGCAAGATAGGTATTCTGGAGTTCTCAACCTTCCTTTTCTAATTTGGGCACTTTCTTTCTAGGTGTGCTAATACAGCTGTCATTCTGGGATTACTTTACGTTACACTCCTGGGTTATGGCTATTATTTGGATTCCATGTCTTTTTTTTTAATTAAAATTTTATTTTACAGGAATACAGGATGGGGCAAAAGTAGTTTTGCAGTTGTGAGTACATGAAATAGTTTATTCTTGTATTATTATTTGTTAATCATTGTATTATTTTCCATACGAACAACTGTAAGCCTGCTTTTGCCCCACCCTGTGTAATTATAAGTATGCTGGTGATAAACTTTGTAAGTTTTGAATATTTGAAAATGGCTTGCCGTTTGTTTCTGATTGAAATTTTAGATATAGAATTTTAAGTTGGTAATACAACTTTTCTCTCTGAACTTTCAAAATTTTGCTCTAGGAAATTAAAGCAGCCCCAATGTTGCTAATCTGGTGGTTATCCTTTTGTAGTAACCTTCTTTACAGTCTTTATGGTGATATCTTTATCTTTGGTCTCTTAAATGTGTTTAGTAGTAGGCTTTTTTCATTACTCCTGTCAGGTGCCTTTTCAGTTTTAAGACTCTTTAGGTCTGGGGAATTATCTTTGATAATTTCTTTCCTCCTTTTTTGTTTTCTTGGAGACTCTTGATGGATGAATATTGATTGGACTTCCTAGATTGAAGCTTCATTTGTTTATTACACTCTGGAAGAGTCCCCTTTTACTTTGCCTTTGAACTTTTCTGTAGAACTTATTTCAGTAATTGTATTTTTAATATATAAGACTGCTATCCTCGCTCCTTCCTGCCCTCCTCCTTCCCTCCTTTTCTTTTTGAGTATAGTGCATATTGTTGTGTTTGTTCAGACCCTTCTACTAACAAAATAATAAAGTTCCAGTTATTCCATGTCCTGTTTTTTGTTGTCCATTCTTAATTTTAGACGTTTTGGTAGATGTTTAGTGGTTTTAATTTGCATTCCCACAGTCCCCTAATAAGTAATTATATAAAACCCCTTTTAATATACTTGCAATTTGGATATCTTTTGTGATGTGACTTGCCAAGTTTTTTGCCCATTTTTATACTGGGCCTTCTGTCTTTTTCATACTTATTTGTAAGAGTTCATTATATACCCTAGATACTAGCTCTTACAGATTATATTTTGCAGATAACCAGCCCTGTAAGTCTATTCAGAGTTCTGCTTGACTTCTCAACTTATCCACCATCCTTTCTCATTGGCAAATATCTCCAGGGGAAAAGAGGGATCCAATGTGCTATGCTTCCCTCCTTTCCGCAGTCTTGGCCTCTCAGGTCCTTGCTGCCTTTGTAGTGCGTTATGCCTTCAAACATATGTATTTATTAATATTATATTCAACTTTCAGGTTTTAATAGAAAAAGTTAAAGTCAGTCATTGGGGGACATGGAAGTAAACCAAGTCCTCCTGCATTGCAGTTTTTCAAGGAGCTTCTTGAGTATTAGATTCTCCACATAATTTTAGAGTCATCTTTTGAAGTTATGTAGGTACACACACACAACCTTTTGGGGTTTTTATGGGAAATGCATTGGAGAAAATTAACATTTTGTTACTAAGTTTTCTTAATCATGACCATTGTAATCTTCATATACCAGTATTTAGATCTTTTAGTGTCTCTCAATAAAGTTTTATAATTTTCTTCAACTAAACTATTGTAGATATTTGTTAGATTTATTTCTAGGTACCCTATGTTTGTATCAAATCATAAATGGTACCTTTTTATAATTATATTTTCTGTCTTGTTGGTAAACAGAAGTAAAATTTAACTTTGTATAACAATCTTGCTATACTCCTAATTATGATAAATTATCTATAGAACTCTTTTGGATTTCCTGTGTAGACCAACCTATCTGTGAATAATGACCTCTTTGTTTCCTCCTTTCCAATTCTTATGCTTTTTTTTCTCTTTCTTTCTTTCTTTTTCTTGTCTAAATGTGCTGGCTAGGATCTCCAGTACAATGTTGAATAGAAGCGGTGATGGGGGCATCCTGATCTTGTTCCTGATTTTAGAGGAAATACTTTCAAAGTTTCACAGTTAAGTATGATGCTTGCTGTAGGTTTATTGTAGATAATCTTTTCAGGTTAAGGCTGTTCCTTTCTATTACTAGTTTGCTAATTTTAAAAAATGGATGTTGAATTTTATCAGAAGCCTTTTTTGCATCTTTGAAGAGGATCATGTTTTTATTCTGTAATCTCTTAATGTTTTTCTTCTGTAATCTGTTAACATGGTGAACTACATTGATTGATTTTCTAATATTTAAATCAATCTTGTGTTTCAAGTATAAAGTCAACCTGGATCTTTCTGTCTCTGTCTCTCTCTGTCTGTGTGTGTGTGTGTGTGTGTGTGTGTGTGTGTGTGTGTGTCAATTTGAAGACAGTTAATTCAGGATTTTTGTCTCTAATAATGTGTAATATTGACCTATAATTTTAAAAATATATACTTTTCCCCTTTCTTCTGGAAGAGTTGATGTAAGATTAGAATGATCTGTTTCTTAAATGTTTGATAGAACTCCCTTGTAAAATTGTTACTGTTTTTTTCTTTGTGGGGCACGTTCTTAACTATTCTAATTGTTTTGGTTGTAGGATTGTTCGTATTTTCAATTTAAAACCGGTTTTGGTAGGTTATACTTTTATAGAAAATTGTCCATTTCATCCATGTTCTTCAATTTATGGTATTAATTTGTTAATCTCTAATTTTGTGTTACCTGTCTTTAATGTCCCTTTTATCTTTTTTAAAAAAACTTTCTTTTCCTTGATCAGTGTTAAGAGCTAAAAGTTTGCCAGTTTGTAAGATTTCAAAGAGTTGAGTTTTTGTCTTATATGCTCTTAAATGTATACTTTACCATTTCATTAATTTCTGCTCATTTCTTTCCTTATACTTCCTTTGGGTTTGTTTCTATTCTTTTTCTGAGTGCTTATTTTTTTAATTTTAACATAGGCAGTTAAGACCAGGAATTTCTATGTATTGCTTTCCTTGTTCACACAAGTTTTGATGTAGAGTGTTTTCATTTGTGAATATTTTTCTATTTTCTTCCGTGAATTCTTTAATTTATCATTTATTTAAAAGTTTTGGTTTCAAATATAGAGACGTTTCATCAGCTCCAGGTCTTACTCTTCTTTCTGGCTTCATGGTGCACATGTGTATAAATAAATATGACTCACAGGTGGGCTACCTTTGAGTTCAGAATTGACTGAAAATCACCAAGTAGGTTGATTTATGAGGCAGCAAGTGGATAAAAGTATAAACTAGGGTGCGTTGAATAAATAGATGGTAAAACCTGAAGCAGGATCTGCCTGTTACCTTCATTTTACTCCCAAGAACAAGTCAATAGGGAGTGGCTTGGAGGAAATATTGTTCTTTAAAAATTTTTTTTATTGCTTTTAGAGAGAGGAAGGGAGAGGGATAGAGAGACACATCAATTGGCTGCCTCCTGCCACACCTGCTACTGGGGATCAAGCCCAAAACCAGGGCATGTGCCCTGATCAGGAATCCAACTGGTCACCTCTTGGTTCATGGGTCAATGCTCAACCACTGAACCACACAGGCTGGGCATCCTTTGAGATTTGTGATCACTCATTTCCTTGCTCTTCAAAGGTCTTTTCCTCAATGGATACTCAGCTAGCTTGGAAATTCAGTTGTTCTAGATCAGCGGTTCTCAACGTGTGGGTTGCGACCCCTTTGGGGGTCGAATGACCCTTTCACAGGGGTCACCTAAGACCATCGGAAAACAAATATATAATTATATATTGTTTTTGTGATTAATCACTATGCTTTAATTATGTTCAATTTGTAACAATGAAAATACATCCTGCATATCAGATATTTACATTACGATTCATAACAGTAGCAAAATTACAGTTATGAAATAGCAACGAAAATAATTTTATGGTTGGGGGGTCACCACAACATGAGGAACAGTATTAAAGGGTCGTGGCATTAGGAAGGTTGAGAACCACTGTTCTAGAAATTTTACTGTTATATAAGACTAGGGGCCCAGTACACGAATTCGTGCACCTTAAAAAGGAACTGTGGGCCACGAGGCTGCAAGTAGGCACAGGGGCAGGTCTTGGCCCATCCTCTGTACCCCACCCAGCCCCTCCCACCCGGCCCCTGGTACCCTGTCTGCCGTCAGTCCTGCTCCCACTGCTCCCACTCCCACGCGCTGACGTCACCAGCCCCAATCGCACCCACTGAAGGCGTGGAGCGATTGGGGCCAGCACCAGCAGTGGGTTCAATCAGCAGCTGCTTCCCTGATGGCCCCTCAGGAGCAGGGGGAGGTGGAGAAGCCCTGAGGGGTGATTGGGGCCTACAGCCGCCGCTCACACCTGCTGATGGTGCTGAGTGTTCGGGACCAGCGCCGGGCACGGGCAGTGGTGGCTCCAGTGCTGGCAGCAGGTGCGAGCACTAGGTGGGACTGAGGCTTGCGGGAGCAAAGAATTTTCAATAACCACCAGAGACTCGCCCCGATGACAGCGACCGGTGCCCCACCTTGGTCTGGCACCCCCACTCACCTGCTCCACCATCTCACCACAGCCAGTACCCACCATGTTCTGCACACACCCCCTGGTGGTCAGCTCACATCATAACAACTGGTTGTTCGTTTATTTGGTTGTTCTAGTTGTTCTGCCATTCGGTCTATTTGCATATTAGCCTTTTATTATATAGGATATGTGGATTTTTAGCTTTAATATTAAAAACATTATCCTATATAATAAAAGCCTAATATGCTAAATGTCCAGTCGTCCATTCAACCAATCAAAGTGTAATATGCTAATGATATGCTAAGGTTGCTCAACCGCTCACTATGACGTGCACTGACCACCAGGGGGCAGACACTCCGACCAGTAGGTTAGCTTGCAGCTGGGGTCCAGCCGATTGGGACTGAGTGAGATGGGGCCGGACATGCCCTGGAGTCCTCCCACAGTCCCTCCCCGGCTGGCCAATCTCCCACCTCCCACTCCTGATCGTGCGCCCACTCGCAATCCGTGACCCCTCAGGGGATGTTGGAGAGCCAGTTTCGGATATGACACGCACTGACCACAAGGAGGCAGATGCTGAACACAGGAGCGCCACTCCCACAGGGGGAGCGCCACTCAGCCATAAGCCAGGCTGTTGGCTAGCGAGTGCAGTGGTGGTGGCAGGAGCCTTTCCCGCCTCTGCAGCAGCGCTAAGCTATCAGTCAGACATCCCCAAATGGCTCCTGGATTGTGAGAGGGCACAGGCCTGGCTGAGGGACCCCTCTCTCCTGAGTGCATGAATTTCATGCACCGGGCCTCTAGATTTCTTATATTGTCCTTTGATATTTAAGTTGGGGTAAAAAATTCATTGGCTTTTGGATTACAAATCTGTCTTGCCTCAGCTGGTGTGGCTCAGTGGTTGAGCGTCTACCTATGAACCAGGAGGTCAGGGTTCGAGTCCTGGTCAGGGTACATGCCAGGGTTGCAGGCTCAAGCCCCAGTGTAGAGTGTAAAGGAGGCAGCCGATCAATTATTCTCCCTCATCGTTGATTTCTCTATCTCTCTCTCCCTATCCTTTCCTCTCTGAAATCAATAAAAATACATATTTTTAAAAATCTTTCTTGATATTGTAAATTTACTGCTTAGTATCAGAAGTTATGCATATAGTGTTGTAAAATTCTAATTGGTCAATTGATGGTAATGCTGTAACAAATATTATGTATTGGTAGGGCTTAGTTTTAAAAAGGAACATTTTTATTGGTTATAAATTTCATAGTCCAACAAATACAAGTTTTCACTTGAGCATAAGTGGATTATGAGGGTTAATAGAAATTAATAGACTACCAAAATTAAGAGTACAACAAAACAAAATTAGCACCATAATTTGAATGTAATTTAGTGAGGGTGGGCTGGCAGTATAAACAGGAATGATTCTAACTGGTAAGTGGAAATATTGGTTGCTAGCACATGCCAATTGATAGAATGCTGGAAAATAAGATTTTATATTATATTCTAAACAGGGTTTTTATGTTCTTGGCTATTGGCTTACTTATTTATTTTTTCTTTCCTTTTAGAATATGGTCTCTAGTTTTAGGGTTTCTGAACTACAAGTGTTACTAGGCTTTGCTGGACGGAATAAAAGTGGACGCAAGCATGACCTCCTGATGAGGGCGTTGCATTTATTGAAGAGTGGCTGCAGCCCTGCGGTTCAAATTAAAATTCGAGAATTGTATAGACGCCGATACCCACGGACTCTTGAAGGACTTTCTGATTTATCCACAATCAAATCATCAGTTTTCAGTTTGGATGGTAACTCATCACCTGTAGAACCTGACTTGGCTGTGGCTGGAATCCACACATTGCCTTCCACTTCAGTTACACCTCACTCACCATCCTCCCCTGTTGGTTCTGTGTTGCTTCAAGACACTAAGCCCACGTTTGAGATGCAGCAGCCATCTCCCCCAATTCCTCCAGTCCATCCTGATGTGCAGTTAAAAAACTTGCCCTTTTATGATGTTCTTGATGTTCTCATCAAGCCCACGAGTTTAGGTAAGTGTTAGACAAATCCATTTCTTCTAGATAAAAAATAAAGCAAAGGCCTGATTTGCTGTTAAAAGATAAATTGAGGCATTAGTGCTAAATGTTTAAGTGTACAGATAAAGAATATTGGCAGCCATGACTGAAATCTAACAGAAAACTGTTGATTTCAACATTCTCATTCTTTTGGCTTAGAACTCAAATTGCCTTTATATGTATATGTAGGGGAACAGACACAAATCTTCTTGCCTGTGATATTCTGTGTTTTGATTCTTTTGATATTTTTACAAAGAGACTTAGTTTCTGTTTAACATAGCTTTTAAACTGCTTTCCTAAGAAGTAAACCTTTTATACTTAACTAGAGGTGCAGTGCACAAATTTGTGCACCAGTGGGGTCCCTCGGCCTGGCCTGCAGAATCGGGCCGAACATGGCTCTCCGACATCCCCTGAGGGATCCTGGATTGTGAGAGGGTGCAGGCCAGGCTGAGGGACCCCACTGGTGCATGATCAGGGCCGGGGAGGGACGAGGGAAGTTGGCCAGCCAGGGAAGGACCGCGGGAGGGCTCCAGGGCCTGTCAGCCCATCTCACTCAGTCCCGATCAGCTGGACCCCATCAGCAAGCTAACCTACCAGTTGGAGCGTCTGTCCCCTGGTGGTCAGTGCACATCATAGCATCTGGTTGACTGTCTGCCCCCTGGTAATCAGTGCATATCATAGTGAGTGGTTGAGCAGCCTTAGCATATCATTAGCATATTACGCTTTGATTGGTTGAATGGCTGACTGGTTGACTGGACACTTAGCATATTAGCCTTTTATTATATAGGATTTTTTTTGTCTAAAGTGGCAAAAAAAATTTTTCTAAATTTTTTTGCTTTTTGTTTAATATTCATCAATTGCTCAGAAAATATAAATTTTATCATGCTACTTAAAGTTGATACAGGTATGTAACAAATTTTTATCTAGGTTGATGACTTCTATATTGGAACAGCATAATTTCTTACTGCTTAATGAAATTATATGCAGAGGTATTTGGATTTATTGATGAAATAAACTGTTTGGGAAATGGTATTTCATAGTTAACCTGGGAGATTACTTTCTTTTCCATCCTGTGAAGACCCTTTTTGTTTTCAGTTATTTGAAAACTCATATATATCAGTGTGCTCTTTTCCTTTGGGTAGGATTATACTGCAGTACATCTTGGTTGTGCTGGAAGGAAATTTTGAGGGTCAGAGCTGGTTAATGGAGTCAATATGGCCTGTTTGGTTGGCAGGCCAAGGTGGCTATGCTTTTTCCAGGCCCTTTCTCTTTGCTTTGCTTTCATTTAACAATATTGAGCCAGGCAGGCAGAGTAATGCATTTTTATCCTTCCATTATATTCATTCTGCAATAAGGATTCTGTACTTGTTCGCATTTTTATTATTTGTACAGAGTCCTATGAGTAGAATTATTGCATCAAAGAGTAAGAACATTTTAGACTCTCGATAACATATTGCTAAATTAGTTTCCAGAAGAGCTATGCTAGTTTAAATTACACAAAGTGAGGAATGCCTATCATTGCACTTTACTTCCTGCCTTTATTAGTTATTAAAAACAAATCTTTGTGATTTTGATGGATAAAAACTTGTGTCTTCTTTAGATTATTTTATTTCTAAAATTAATAGTAGGAGCAAACTTTTCAAATGTTTATTACCCAGTGCCTTTTTAAAATGCTTTTTCATCTTTAACTTTTTTTTTTTTTACAGCTCCATTTATCTGGTTAAAATGTTTCCATAATTTTATTTCTCCCATTGTCATGGTTTTTTAGTTTATGCTATGCTACCAATGCATAGTATCATGGCTCATACATATGTTTCTTTCTCAGCAATTATTGCAAGAAAGCAACTATTTCTTTATATGTATTTTGAGAAAAATTCAGACTTATGATATATGCTTACGTGACCCTACCTCATGGAACTCCTCAGGAATATGGACAACGTGAGGACTGAGAATATAAGAGAGCCTGTGGGATCATGGTTACAGTGGAAGGTGTTTCAGAGACACGGTTGAATGCCCAGAAAAAAAGACTAGAGACAGAAGATGCAGCAGCGTGTCTTCTCTGCCTATTAGTATCCCTAGTGCACCAAGGGGTGATCTCTGGAGAGGCTTCCTGCTTTGTTCAGAAATAGAAATATTCTTGCTTCTTGTTCTTCATAGTGTTTCTCTTTCATTAACATCAGTAAGGTTAAAGAAAAGTAGTAGGGTTTTTATAAGTTTACTAAATAAAAACTTTTTTCATTTGGCTTAGATAAAATACTGCCAGAAGTATTTTGTGTTGAAAAGTGGCTTAGAAAAACTTGGGTTATGCTCATGGTTAGAATGTAAGAAATAAATAAATAAATAAATAAATATAAATATATATATATATATATATATATATATATACACACACATATATATATATATTTTAGAATTTATAAAATAACTTCTTATCTCTGAGCTAAAACTTATCTATATATTTTTTCAGGGGTCTTGTCTATCACTGTTTTTATAAGCATTATAAACTGATTCTTGTTTAAAACAAGGCTTAAACATTTCGTTATTCTGCCTTCTTCCCTAAAGAGAAAAAGAATTTTTTTTTTTAAAAGAGGTATTTTATTTTACTTTATTTATTTATTTTTAAATATATTTTATTGATTTTTTACAGAGAGGAAGGGAGAGAGATAGAGAGTTAGAAGCATCGATGAGAGAGAAACATCGATCAGCTGCCTCCTGCACATCTCCCACTGGGGATATACCCGCAACCCAGGCACATGCCCCTGACCGGAATCGAACCTGGGACCCTTCAGTTCGCAGGCCGACACTCTATCCACTGAGCCAAACCGGTTTCGGCGAAAAAGAATTTTCTTAATGTATTTAGTCTTATTATGTCTGACTGATGAAACACTCAGTGAAATGCTTTGAAATCCTAAGAAGTGCTCTTTTTTTTTTTTTTTTTTTTTTTTTTTAAATATATTTTATTGATTTTTCACAGAGAGGAAGGGAGAGAGATAGAAAGTTAGAAACATCGATGAGAGAGAAACATCGATCAGCTGCCTCCTGCACATCTCCCACTGGGGATGTGCCCGCAACCCAGGTACATGCCCCTGACCGGAATCGAACCCGGGACCCTTCAGTCCGCAGGCCGACGCTCTATCCACTGAGCCAAACCGGTTTCGGCAGAAGTGCTCTTTTTAAAAAATATGTTTAATTGATTTCAGAGAGAGGAAAGGAGAGGGAGAGAGAGATAGAAACATCAATGATGAGAGAGAATTATCAATTGGCTGCCTCTTGCACACCCTCTACTGGAGATCAAGCCCGAAACCTAGTCATGTGCCCTGACCGGAAATGCTCTACCATTGAGCCATTCCAGCTGGGCTAAGGAGTCTTTTAGACTTTGAGGTAGAAAGTTTAAAAATCAGCATAGTACCAAATAAAAGTGGAAAAATTTAATGTTTTCTGGTAATGACCTTTAGTTGAAAATTTTTTATTTCACATGTCTAACGCAGTGTAATATGGTGTTGTTTTATGATGTTGGAAATACTTTAAAAATAAAAATCTCTGGGAAAATTTATTTATTTGGATACCGCTATGGAGAAACCTGTTTACATTTGGGAACTGAGAATTAAAAATCTTCAGGAGTCAAAAGGGATATCAAATCCAAATTTTAAAGCACATATTTTTGACAACTGCAAGCCAGTTTGTGTGTTTTTTATTTTATATACAATTGATTAGAAGATTTTTAAACTGTCAACATATTGTTAAGTAGGAATTGACAACATGGGAGAGACTGGAAGAGCCCTGGTAGGAAAAACAGATACAAGAGGTTAAAAATAACATTCCAGAATCTCTTGTGATATTGAATCCAAAAGAATTGCTGTTACAGCATGGCATACAGATTGATGCTAAAAAATACCAATGATGATGAGTATATTCTATTTAAGAAGACACCTTATTATATAGTTTGCAGTTTGGAATCATTTTTATTCAAAATGATTAAAATTAAAATATTTTAGCATTTGAAATGGCAGACTGGCATCTAGAAAAGCTGAGTGGACACAACAATACTAAATCAGGTTCTCTGTATCTGTGGTTATACTGTATCAAATGGACAATCCCCTAATCTAAAAGCAAACTAACTAAAATCTCTGTTCTCTCTTAAATAGCTATTCTGATTTGCTCTCACAGGCAGTATTTTTCTTTTCAGTTTTTTTTTTCTTTAAGATAATTTCTTTTGAAGGTGAAATCCTTTGAGAATTGTGTTTCTACTTTAAAAACTTGTCTATATTCAATCTATACAAAAGATTATATATAAAACATTAAGTTCTAAGGAATATCAATGAAATTAATACCTGTGAAACCTCTACCCACTTTTTTGTTAAATCCTCACCGGAGGATCGAAGATATGTTTATTTACTAGGTGTACCGGTTAATAATGCGGATTTTGTAATCAAAGAAAACACAATAATTTCAAGAGAAATATCAAAAGTGCTTTATGCAAAATAATGTCCACCGCTAGCTACACATTTCCCCCATCTTTCAGGTAATTTGTGGATACCGTCCCAATGGAACTTTTCTTGTTTGAGGCAAACCATTCAGAGACCCAATTTTCCACTTACTCGTATGTTTTGAAGTGCTGCTCAGAAGGTGCATGTGCTATCGATTGGAATAAGTGGTCATCTGAAGGAGCAAGGTCTGGTGAATAAAGCGGGTGGGTTAATACTTCCCAGACAAGATCTTTTAATGTGTCTTTAACTGGTTTTGAAGTGTGTGATGGTGCGTCATCATGAAGCAAAATTACTTTGCCATGTCTTCTGGCACATTCTCGTTGTTTTATGATCGAAGCGTGATTCAAATTGATTATTTGTTGTCGGTAGCGATCAGTATTAATGGTTTCACCTGGTTTTAGAAGCTCATAGTACACCACACCTTCCTGATCCCACCAAACGCAGAGCATTGTCTTTCCGAAGTGATTTGGCCTTGCAGTCAATGTTGATAGTTGAGCTGGCTCAGCCCATGATTTTGTGCATTTGGGATCCTCAAAATAAATCCACTTTTCATCGTCAGTCACAATTCGATGCAAAAAAAGACTTTCTTTCGTGCCATTGAAGCAACATTTTACTGATGACTTTTCGGTTTTCCATTTGTCTTTTGTTCAGTTGATGTAGCACCCATTTTCCTTCCTTTAAAGTCTTTCCCGTTGCCTGTAAACGATCGGAAATTGTTTGCTGAGCAATGTTTAATCTTTCTGCAAGTTGTTTTTGAGTTTGACACGCATCTTCATCCAATGCTTGTAATTATTGGCCTTCAAACTTTTTCGGTTGACCTGGACATTCTTTGTCTTTGACATCGAAATCATCACTTTTAAAGCGTTTTAAACCAGTGTTGATGAGTATCTTGAGATGGAGCATGTTCACCATAAGCTTCCCGAAGTTTTCAGCAGCACTTTTCTTCAAAATAAAGTAATGAATTAAAACTTGCTGCAAATGTTCTTTTTTTTGGCACAAAATTTGACATTTATAAGCGTAAAAATATCTATGTTAACACCTTCAGAAAATTTGACATAGGAAGTTTTGAAGCTTGCTGTCAATACAACAAAATAGCATACATACCAAATCGCATATATATCAACATATGTGTAATTCCATCTACTGAAAAAAAATCTGCATTATTTACCGCCACACCTAGTATTTTAGACAGGATGGGAGAGAGGGAGGGATGGAGGGAAGAAGAGAGAGCAAGAGCGAGAGGGAGACACCTATGTGAGAGAAATATCAATCCTCCCAATTTACCTTAGTGAATTCACTGAAGATCTTGCACACAGCTTTGCATTTTGGCTACATGTTAATCAGGCTTATCAGAATGAATCAAGAATTACAGATGTTGAGTAGATAATTTCATATTTCTGTCTCCTTTCTCCTGCCTTTCAGTGCTGTTACTTTTGCTTTAAAGTTATATTTATAAGGAAATCATAAAAGAAAGCATATTACTTTATCATTACCATTTATTAACTGTTTGTGGTGATTTTCATTCCCGAAAATTTGAATTTGGTATCATTTTTATCTGGATAATTTTCTTTTACTTTTCTTGTAGTGTATGTCTGCTTTCAACAGTTGTCTTGGCTTTTTGTTTATCTAAAAGTCATTATTTCGCGCTGTTTTCAAAGAGTATTGAATTTTCAGTTGACAATTTTTTCCTTTCACTACTTTGAAGATGACATATGGCCTACTTTGTTTCTGAGGAGAAGTCAGCCTTTATTCATATTGTTCCCTTGTACGTATGGTTTGTGTTTTCTCTAACTGCTTTCAAGATTTTATAGTCATCATTAGTTTTCAGTAGTTTGAATTTGATTTGACTAAGTGTGTATTGTTTTTTTTTACTGTATTTATTTTGCTTGGGGTTTGATCTGTAAGGGCTTTACTCCCTTCCTTAAAATTAGGGGATATTCTTCCATTATTTCTGCAAGCTTTAAAAATTTTTACATATTTTTTATTTTATTTTTTTATGCTCTGTTTTCTCTTCTTATGGGACTCCATTTGTACCTGTGTTGGACTGTGGTTTCTGGCTGGAGAGACTAGTTGCTCATACATTAACTAAAATTGAAAATGCAGAGTGTTTATCTCTAATCTCCAAATATACCTGCTAGGTTAGTAAATTTGACAGTTAAGAGGTCATCGGTAATATTAGCTCTAGATAGAGAATGGAAAGTAAAATCTGCACGAAAGAGTTGAAGAGTGAACAGGAATTGAAGAAGTGGAGAGACTTACTAATGTAGTTCTGTGTTTGTGTTTTATGTGCCATAGTTATGTTTATGACTTATAGTTTGTCTCCTTTTTAGGCCTTCAGCATAAACATCCTCCCTCCCCTCTGTTTTTAAATGTTCTGGGAGCATAATTGCTATAATAAATTACCTATGCTTAAAGAAAATACTTTTTTTTTTTTACTCAAGGAGTTAATATTTTCTTGATTTGGTGTGACTGGGGATTGAAGATTTCTGATATTGGATATTTAGCTGGTATCTTGTTTACCTTCATGCATTAGGAAAACTGGCCAGTAACACACAAGGACCATTTTGCCTTATTCTGTATGTTACTGTGGTATTTGTTGGGAAGCAGAACACCTGAGATCTCTATATTAGCTTTAGTTTTGTCTTAATGAGCGCTAGAATATCATTAATACACCAGTATATATGTGTTTAAGTTCTTTGTGAAGTGAATACATTATGATTTTTAATAATATAGTTAAGGATGATTTTATTATGTATCCTTTTAAACTAGATAATCTTTTATATCAGTGATGGCGAACCTATGACACGCATGTCAGAGGTGACACGCAAACTCATTATTTTGGTTGATTTTTCTTTGTTAAATGGCATTTAAATATATAAAATAAATATCAAAAATATAAATCTTTGTTTTACTATGGTTGCAAATATCAAAAAATTTCTATATGTGACATGGCACCAGAGTTAAGTTAGGGTTTTTCAAAATGCTGACACGCCGAGCTCAAAAGGTTCGCCATCACTGTTTTATATGCAAATCATCATTATATATTTTAATAAACTATCAACTTAGACATTTTAAAGTTTTAAATTTTCTCTTCTGTGAGTAATCTGTAATCTATACTAATAAAAGGGTAATATGCTAATTAGACCGGATAGACCTGACGTCCTTCCTGACAAAGCCGAGGCCTGGGGGAGCCTGGGCAAAGCCGCCCGGGTTCCTCGGTGCCTGCCCGGGTGAAGCTGGCCCGGGCCTGAGTTCCGGGTGCCTGCAACCAGCCAGAGTGAGGGAAGCCCAAGTCCCGGTTGCCTGCAGTCGGCCGGAGTAGGGAAGCCTGGGTCCCGGGTGCGGGGGCTGAGGCAGAGGCAGTTAGGACCAATCAGGCAGGCAGGCGAGTGGTTAGAGGTGATCAGGCAGGCAGGTGAATGGTTAGGGGCGATCAGGCAGACAGAGGTGGTTAGGGGCAATCAGGCAGGCAGGCGAGTGGTTAGAGGTGGTCAGACAGGCAGGCAGAGGCGGTTAGGGACGATCAGGCAGGCAGGTGAGTGGTTAGGGGCGATCAGTCAGGCAGTCAGGCGAGTGGTTAGGAGACAGCGGTCCTGGATTGCAAGAGGGTGCAGGCTGGGCTGAGGGGAATCCCCCGCATGAATTTTGTGCACCTGGTCTCTAGTCCTATATAATAAAAGGCTAATATGCAAATCGACCGAACGGCAGAATGACTGGACGTACACTGACCCCCAGAGGGCAGACGCTCAACACAGTTGCTGCCCTCTGGTGGTCAGTGCGCTCCCACATGGGTAGCGCTGCTAATCCAGAAGCCGGCTCAGCCAGAAGCTGGGCTCATTGCTGGAGAGTGCAGAGGTGGTGGTGGGAGCCTCTCTTGCCTCCATGACAGTGCTAAGGACCCCTCTGCAGACATCCCCCAAGGGGTCCCAGACTGCAAGAGGGCTCAGGCTGGGCTGAGAGACCACCTCCCCCCCCACACCACCCCCAGTGAACAAATGTTGTGCACTGGGCCTCTAGTTGAATATAATGTATCAAAAACAAACACAACAAAGAAAGAAACAAAACAAAACAAAAAAATCCAAAACACACCTGAATCTGGGATAGAGTTCAACTGGGGGGAGTTTTTTAAATTTCAATTTTATTTATTTATTTTATTTTATATACATACAGATTTCTTAATTGTTAATATTTGGGAGTTTTTCACTTGATCAGATTTTCATTAGATGATATAATATAGTCAAGAATGAAATGTAATATCGAAGGGTTGTGTTATATTTTGACTATTATAATTAGTGTGCTAGAATTAAAAATGCTTAAAATGGGACTGGCTTTACTTTCATGATTTCAAGATGATTGCAATTTAGTACTTATCTATTTTGAAGTATTTTAGTTATAAAAAATTCAGAATTTGGCAGACTCTTTATCAGAATTACCTAGTTGCTGTAGGTTACAATATCCTTGGATTTGTTATTTTAATATCAAGTTTTTTCTTCCCTCCCCAGTTCAAAGCAGTATTCAGCGATTTCAAGAGAAGTTTTTTATTTTTGCTCTGACTCCTCAACAAGTTAGAGAGATATGCATATCCAGGTAAGAGGAATGTTTGGAATATATTTCTCCGTGAACATTGGTGTATTAGTCTGCTAAGGCTGCTGTAACAAAGTACCACGTACTGGGTGGCTTAAACAGCAGAAATTTATTTTCTAACATTTTAAGAGGCTTGAAGTCTAAGATTCAGTGTTTACAGGTTTGCTTTCTCCAGAGTCCTTTGGCTTTTGGATGGCTGCCTTCTTGCTGTGTGTACTCACATGGCCTTTCCTCCGTGTACCTGTGCATCTCTGGTGTCTCTCTTTTTATGTGGACACCAATCATATTGGATTAAAATCCCAATCTTCTGACTTCATTTAACCTTAGTTACCTTTTTAAAGTTGTCATCTCCACATATTAAGGGTTAGGCCAGGGCTTCAATATTCATTTTGGGATAATACAATTCATTTCATACGAGTTGAACTATTTCTTTTTAAGTAAGTGTGGTGTGTACTTTGACTAAGGTTACCAAAATATTTAATAAATATTCTGTATTAGAATAATATTTAAACTTTGAGTAAAACACCAGAGTATCTTCTGAATTACTTTTTGTCACATTTGGCAATAATGTTTTTAATGAAAAATTTATTTCAAATATAGCAACATAAAAAAGAATTTGTGATAGTCCAAAGACAGTATGATCATATACTGTATCATCCAAACTGAGGCATTTTTAGAGTGAAAGGAGACATTATTTGTAATTTTTCTGGGATAAGAACATCAACTGGTACTGTTCTGAGCATAGTAGAAAGATTAGTCCAAAAAACCCAAAATCCAAATAGAGGATTCAGAAAAAATAGAGACAATTTAGAGGAGGAAATTGCCAAAGAAATAAAATGACTGTAGCTTGATGTAATCCATGTTCATCAGTGGTAAGGGATTGAGTTAGTGTAAATTGGAAGTACTTTCAATCTTGGGGATAGTAATAAATCAGCTAACAAACAAATAGAACAAGTAAAATATTATAATTTATATCCAAAACCATGTCATTAACCTTAAGTTTTGTTTGTTATTTAGGGATGATCCCTTGCTTGAGATTAGCATTTACTAAGTGTTTTATTAGGTGCAAAGCACTGTATTATATGATATAACTCCTTTCTACAAGTTGTTTTCCACAAGTGTTGTTGGTGAACCAGTTTATATTCATAAAATGATCATTGGCATTGTGAGGTGTCATGTGAAAAGAGCCAATTCAGTAAGGACAAGTGAGAGCTGATTTATAGGAGGAGATTACTTTTAACCTTGATGGTGTGGGAAAGCTTCACTAGAGTGTTGAGTGGGCCTTTGACAGAAGATTATTTAGAGTAAGTAGATTTCAAGATACATTTTAAAATAAATTTTTAAAGTTTGAACTATGTGAATATATTCACTAATTAAGAAATGAATGATTAAAATTTAAGTAATTTTAATTTACAAGTTTAATCATGTTCTAGAGATGGATGATGGTGATGGTTGATACTCAACCACTGAGCCATGCTGGCTGGGCACCACCAAAAACATTTTTAAAATTAATGATAAAAGTAAGGCTATTTACAGTTCTTCTTCCAAATTGAAAATAAAGCTCACATACACATGTACGTACATAAAACCCCCAACCTCTTCAGAGCCGTCTAATCAAAAATTTCCTTCCGAAGTGGAAGTAAAAGCTTGGTACCCATTACCGTGCTTTAGTAATTATCAAAATTTTGGAAGTCTGTACCATATATGACCTCCCCTCCACATTTTTCCTGAAATATTTTAAAGCAAATAACAGGCATCATATAATTTCACCCAGAAATACTTCAAAATGCATCTCTAATTAATTTTTAACACAATCATAATTGAATCATAATTCATAAGTCTTTAATATAAAACAGTGTCTAGCCCAGCCGTGGGCAAACTACGGGCCGTGGGCAAACTACGGCCCGCGGGCCGGATCCGGCCCGTTTGAAATGAATAAAACTAAAAAAAAAAAAAAAGACCATACCCTTTTATGTAATGATGTTTACTTTGAATTTATATTAGTTCACACAAACACTCCATCCATGCTTTTGTTCCGGCCCTCCGGTCCAGTTTAAGAACCCATTGTGGCCCTCGAGTCAAAAAGTTTGCCCACCCCTGGTCTAGCCTATGTATTACTTCGTACTACTAAATTATTTTTACTTTGAAGTAATTATAGATTTACCGAAAAGTTGTAAAAAGCGCAGATATACTTTTCACCTAGCTTCGCTTAACATTAACATCTTGCATAACCATACTTTAATTATCAAAACCAAGAAATTAATATAATACTGTTAACTAAATTACAGACTTTATTCAGATTTTACCAGTTTTTCTACTATTGAATTTTTGTTCCTGGATTCAATCCAAGATCCCAAATTATATTTAATTGTGTCATTTTAGTCTCTTTCAGTTTGACAGTTTAATTTTGCCCTTTTTTTTTATAACTGTTGATACTTTTGAAGAGTACTAGTCAGGTATCTGTACAGTGTCCCTCAATTTGGGTTTGTCTGATGTTTTGTCATGACTAGATTGAGATCAGGCAATTTTGGCAAGAATGCCCAAGTTATATTTCTTTCTCAGTGTATCATATCAGGGGCTACAGAATATTGATACATCTTATTTTTGGCAATGTTAATCTTGGTCACTTGGATAAAGTGTTGCCTACCAGATTTTTGCACTGTAAAGTTGCTGTTTTCCCTTTGTTATTAAAAAATTTCTTGGGAGCCCTAGCCGATTTGGCTTAGTGGATAAAGCATTGGCCTGTGGACCGAAAGGTCCCAGGTTTGATTCCAGTCAGGGGCACATGCCCGGGTTGCGGGCTCTATCCCCAGTAAGGGGTGTGCAGAAGACAGCCAGTCAGTGATTCTCTCTCATCATTGATGTTTCTATCTCTCTCTCTCCCTCTCCTTTCCTCTCTGAAATCAATTAAAAAAAAAAAAGATAAAAAAAATACCTTGGAAGGAGGAGGTTCTTTGAGATTAGGCACATATTGTTTCTCCAGATTTTTGCTCACCAATTTAAGCATTCACTTGTGGTTATTGCCTTTAGCAGTTACTTCACCATAAACACTCTTTGTGTTTCAGTGGTATGATTTTCTATTGTCCTTATTCTCTTCCACATTGGAGTTATTTCTTTTTTTTTTTTATGGAAGAGCAGGCCCTTTCCCCCTATTTATTTAATTACTTACTTGTATCTGTGTGTCCATGTGGGCTCTTGGTTACTTTGAGGGTTGTATTTCAATGCTATAAGTAATTTATGTTGTTGCTCAAACTCTTCTACCTTTGGCCATTAGACATTCTTTCAGGTTGGTTAACCCAATTTCTTTCTGTTTTCCAAAGGGATTTTTTGCCAGGTGGTCGAAGAGATTATACAGTCCAAGTTCAGCTGAGGCAAGTTTGAAATTTTCTTTTACTTTAATAATATTTGCTAACTATGTGCATATAGTCATGAATTTGAAAATACATAAGCATGTTTGAGTATACTATTTAAGAATAATTTCTTTTTTCTTCTTTAATGCAGACTTTGCTTGGCAGAGACAAGCTGCCCTCAAGAAGATAACTATCCCAATAGTCTATGTATAAAAGTAAATGGGAAACTTTTTCCTTTGCCTGTAAGTTGCTTTTAATTCACCAGGAGGTCTGGTAGAATAGATAAAGACTAAAACTATGAGTAAATAAATTATTGATTGGATAATGGGTATATGGGAGTGCATTATACTTTTTTCTTTCTTTTTGTATATGCTTTGAAATTTTCAGTAAACCTATAAAATAAAGAGGGAATATGCAAATTGACTGTCACTCTATCATAAAGATGGCGGTGCCCACAGCAGTGGTGGGGGTTTCCGTAACACAAGATGGCTGCGCCCATAGTGGAGGCCGAGTTTCCGTAACGAGTCTTAACGAGCAATCAGCAGGGACCTGAGGCTGCGCCCCACCCAACACCCCCTCCCGTGGGGCTAGACAGGGGACCTCAGGGCCCCCCCCCCATGCCAGGCCGGGGACCTCAGGCCACGCCCCTGCCCGGTGGTGCTTGATGGGGGACCTCAGGCCACATCCCCCACTCGGCAGGGCTTGACGGGGGACCTCAAGGCTTGCCCCCTGCCCCGGCCTGGGCTGGGGGACCTGAGGCTGCGCCCCCCACCTGGCGCCAGGCCAGGGGACCTGAGGCTGTGACCCTGCTTGGAGGGGCTTGACAAAAGTGGAACCGGCCAGGTCTGGATCTAGCCCAATGGGGGTGGGGCCCGCTGGGTCTTTTCGAGGCACACGTGGGTGGGCGGGGACTTGACTCTGGGTCCCATGGTGCACCCCAGACTCTGACAGGAGGAAGATTGTCATATACATTTTATTAATTTTCTTTCATCTCTGACACTTCTAGTATAGAGAAAGGGCAAATAGCAATATTAAAATATTTCCTCTAATTAATCCCCCTTTAATGTGCACAAACTTCGTGCACCATGCCACTAGTCTGTAATAATAAAAGGGTAACATTCAAATTGACCAAATGGCCAAATAGCAGAACGACCGTCTGGACCACCATGGTATGACACGTACTGGCGCCACGCCTTCCAAGGCAGGTGCAATGCTATTGGTTGGGGGGCCCCACCATTGCCCCATGATTGCCCTGCAGAGGGAAGCCCAGGCCACCAGCTGGCAGGGCAATCATTGGGGGGCTCCACGATTGGCACAAAGAGGGAGGCTCAGGCCACCTTCTGTGGGGCAGTAGATCGGGGGGCTCTGTGGAACTGGGGAACCAGGGGTGTGTGGCGGTGGACATGGGCTGCACCAGGCCAAGGCAGGTGCAGGCTGGGGGTGGCTGCTGGCAGCCCGGGCTGCGAAGCAGACAGCTGGTAAAAGGAAGGCCTACCCTTGCATGAATTTTGTGCATCGGGCCTCTAATAAAAAAATAAAAGACATCTTTGAGGCAATTGGGAAATTTGAATATAAACCTTACATTAGATAATTTTTAAAAATTATGGTTAATTTTGTAAGGTTGCGATACATTTTTTTTAAGGTCTTTATAAAGATGCATATAAGAGTATCTGTGGATTAAATAGCATGTCTAGAATTTGCATTTAAATACTAAGGGGCAAAATCAAATGTGTGTTTGTGTGAGGTGTGAATTCTGTGTGGGCTGATTAGGCCAGAAGCAAACAAAGCACAATTAGCAACATGTTGATAATTATTGAAGCAAATTTGTGGGTACTTATTGTTCTCTTTACTTTTGTATATGAAAAGTTTTATAATATAAAGTAAAAAAGTAAATCTGTATTGTTAGTATTGAAGTAGTAGTAATTAGAAAATGCTAAAGGAACAGCATTCTTAACTTGTCAGAATTACAAATAAGGTAGGATGTCATCATAGCATGTAACAGAAAAGGTTCTTTGAGTATATCTTTTATTGAAATGTTAGATTGAGACTGAAATAAAATCTTTCACTGGCTCTTCAACAGCCTTTATTAAAAAGCTTTTAGATTTTCTTCAGAGGTCCTCTGTTAAATGAACTTCATTTTATTTATGCGTAAGGTATGGAAAATTGTTAGAAATATGTGAAGGTTAACTATATTTTACAAATTTCCAACTACCAGGTCTACCGGTTAATAATGCGGATTTTGTAATCAAAGAAAACACGATAATTTCAAGAGAAACATCAAAAGTGCTTTATGCAAAATAATGTCCACCGCTAGCTACACATTTCCCCCATCTTTCAGGTAATTTGGGGATACTGTCCCAATAGAACTTTACTTGTTTTGAGGCTAACCATTCAGAGACCCAATTTTCCACTTACTCGTATGTTTTGAAGTGCTGCTCAGAAAGTGCGTGTGCCATCGATCAGAATAAGTGGTAATCTGAAGGAGCACGGTCTGGTGAATACAGCGGTGGGTTAATACTTCCCAGGCAAGATCTTTTAACGTGTCTTTAACTGGTTTTGAAGTGTGTGATGGTGCGTCGTCATGAAGCAAAATTACTTTGCCATGTCTTCTGGCACATTCTCGTTGTTTTATGATCGAAGCGTGATTCAAATTGATTATTTGTTGTCGGTAGCGATCAGTATTAATGGTTTCACCTGGTTTTAGAAGCTCATAGTACACCACACCTTCCTGATCCCACCAAACGCAGAGCATTGTCTTTCCGAAGTGATTTGGCCTTGCAGTCAATGTTGATAGTTGAGCTGGCTCAGCCCATGATTTTGTGCATTTGGGATCCTCAAAATAAATCCACTTTTCATCGTCAGTCACAATTCGATGCAAAAAAAGACTTTCTTTCGTGCCATTGAAGCAACATTTTACTGATGATTTTTCGGTTTTCCATTTGTCTTTTGTTCAGTTGATGTAGCACCCATTTTCCTTCCTTTAAAGTCTTTCCCGTTGCCTGTAAACGATCGGAAATTGTTTGCTGAGCGATGTTTAATCTTTCTGCAAGTTGTTTTTGAGTTTGACACACATCTTCATCCAATAATGCTTGTAATTGTTAGCCTTCAAACTTTTTCGGTTGACCTGGACGTTCTTTGTCTTTGACATCGAAATCATCACTTTTAAAGCGTTTTAAACCAGTGTTGATGAGTATCTTGAGATGTAGTGCTGGGGTCCAACCCCAGCAGGTCCAGGGGTCCCCAAAGGTGTGGACGGAGTCGGCGAGGAAGGAATGACACAGAGACAGCATTCAGTTGATCAGCAGCCTAGCCAGGATCTCTAGCCAAGTTCTGGTCAGGATCTCCAGCGAAGTTCTGGTTAGGATCTCCAGCCAGGTTCTGTGTCCATGTTCTCTTGCTAGGTTCTCCAGGTTCTCCAGCCAGTTTCAGTCACCAGGTTCTAGTCAGGTTCTCTTGCCATGTTCTATCTAGGTTCTGTAGCCAGGTTCTGTCTCTAGGTTCTGTGTCCTGTCTTGTTACATCTGTATTTATACCAGTTGATTCCAATCCTGTTAATCTCTATTCCAAAGGTTAGGGCGTTTCTTATCTCCATTCCAGGGAGTAAAGATTATGTAGCTTAAGCATGATTGTTCGTAGTTAAAGTGATTAACTACCCGCCTGGCACTCAGTTAAGGGGTTTTATTCCCTCCCTAACTTCAGGGGAAAATCCCTACCTGGGGAAACAACCTTTCTCGGAGAGGTGACCTTGGTTAAAACACATAGTGCCAAGAAGGTGAGTAAACATATTAAGAACAGTATGCCATATACGCAAGGTCACTTGAAACATATGCTGTGCAGATGTTTCTTCCCTGCAGCGACTGTGTCAAGCAGCAAGGATGGAAAGTAATGAATTAAACTTGCTGCAAATGTTCTTTTTTTTGGCACAAAATTTGACAGTTATAAGCGTAAAAATATCTATGTTAACACCTTCAGAATATTTGACATAGGAAGTTTTGAAGTTTGCTGTCAATACAACAAAATAGCATACATACCAAATCGCATATATATCAACATATGTGTAACTCCATCTATTGAAAAAAATCCGCATTATTAACCAGTATCTCTGGTATATTCTATTCTTAATAACGGTAATAGATGTTGAATGGAGGCGATGCTGATGATCAGAGGGAGACTACATGTTAACAGATAACTCAGAATTACCAGTGAAATCAAACTAGTCAAGTTAAAAATACTTGAGGTGATTAAGAGTAGTACTATATTTGATTTTGAATATGCTAACACCTCATTCTTACAGTTATTGTTATTATGTTCTTACCCCCTATTATTGCTCTCTTTCACAGACTAACTTAAAACATTGTGGCTTCGTGTCTAAAATTCCATTTTACAGAGTTCACTGTTTAGCTGGTTCATGAATTTTTATCATCTTGTTTTTATTTGGTTAACCTAGCAGTGGACGTACCAGAAGACAGAATTACCTTCCAGGCCAAATATAGGCAAAACAAAGGTTTTCAAATTTACCCAGACATTGGTATTGATATTCCATGTGCTTGCTGCTCATTGAACCATTTCCTAGAGTTTTTAAATGAATGCTTTGTTGATTTATTTTACTTGAACAACCTTAGATGAGCATTACCCTCTTCCACATATTACTACATACACATACATTTTCCTTTTTCAAAGTATAATGGAAGTTATTTTCTTTGCCTAGTACTTCCCTGTACACTGTTTTTAATGATTTTCAAAGTCTTATCACAAGTTGTAGATTACAAGTAATCATGTGATTCCTACTTACTAATTACTATCCTACCTCCTATGAAGCAGTGAAGGATGTTCCCTACTTGTGATAGACAGAATGTATTCCTTAGCTCTGCCGTGTAATACCATCAATAGGGTATTTCATTTTTTTCTAAGATGGATATTTCCTAAAATCTAGAGTTGTTTTACAGTTGCTAATGACCAGGTGACAGCTGTAATATATTCTCATTGCCTGCACTTGTACAACCTTGATGTTATTTCCATGGTATGACTCGTCAGCTGCACTCCCTGGGTTTTTCAGTCAGCAAGTGATTTAAGTACATTTTGAGCTAGGTTCATAAATCCAGGGTATTGTACGAATACCACTGATTGATATCCTATATAATAAAAGGCTAATATGCAAATAGGCCGAGTGGTGGAATGACTGGTTGCTATGACGCGCACTGACTGATGGGACAGACACTCGACGCAGGAGCTGCCCCTTGGTGGTCAGTGCACTCCCATGGGGAGCAATGCTCAGCCCGAAGCTGGACTCACAGCTGGTGAGCACAGTGGTGGTGGTGGGAGTCTCTCTTGCCTCTGCGGCAGTGCTAAGCACCCCTTGGGGGATGTCCTTCGTGGGCTCTTGGACTGCCAGAAGGCGCAGGCCCAGCTGAGGGAAGATCCCCCCCGCCCCCGTGCACCGATGTTGTGCACTGAGCCTCTAGTATTCTTTTAAGATCCAGAGTGTATCAGCAGTAACACATGTAGTTAATGTAAGGGTGTCAGTCACTTGCAAGGAAATCTAAGAGATGTTAGTGGAGGTAGAGTATAGTTTTATATTGAAATACAATAAATATATAGAATACCTTTATCTCCAGAGCTCATGGTGGCATATAGGAGAATATTATGTGGAAAATATAATCTGATAACTGAGTGAAAAGTAATTCAGGAGATTCTTATCCAAAAGGAATATGTTAGCCAATTCATTTGCTTATATCCCCTTGCTATATATGCAGAAATAAGTAGTGATACACTTGTTTATATCCTTAACTTAGTGTTTTTTCCTTCTCATTGGTGCATAGTTAAATTACATCAATTGCACCTTAGTAGTAAAATATATCTGTTTTTTAATATATAGATGTTTTTGCAGCTTAGAATTTTTAATTTTCTAAAAAATATATTATTTGGGTTTGAAAGTCAAACTGAAAAGTTCTATGGTAATTGAAAATTGGATATACCATAAATAAAAAAATGAGTACATTTGCTATTTAAAAGAAATACTTAATGACTAGGGGAGTGGAATAAAGCATAAATAGCAGTATTACTATAGACATCAAGTTAATTTAATACCAATTATCACAAGATTTTCATAATTTTTTTGAAATTAATTATTATTATTTTTTAATTTCCAAAGCCTATTTTCCTTCTTTCCCACTCCCAGTATTTGAATGCATTTTTAATGGGAACTCCTAAGATGAAGTAGTACAAAGAGGTGCAACTTTATTGTTTGTAAAGAGAAAAAAAGATTCATAACCAATGTGACAAGATGTCAGCATTTTAAATTTTAATGGTAGAACAGGGATTTTGTTTTTGGAGGGGTATAGTTTTCTGAACTTGTGAAATATTTTATAACTTTAAAAAAAATGTCATTTTTCTCTTTTGGATTGGTGACCTTAGGGTGAGGACTATGTGATTTCTAGTATAAAATTAAAAGAATTAGTGTAACTGAAATTATACAAGATTCTGTATCTATCTTCAAGAAAATGCTTAATGCCTACAGATAATTTAATTTCTTTCTTATGGTTATAGGGCTACGCACCACCACCTAAAAATGGGATTGAACAGAAGCGCCCTGGACGCCCTTTGAATATTACATCTTTAGTTAGGTTATCTTCAGCTGTGCCAAACCAGATTTCCATTTCTTGGGCATCAGAAATTGGGAAGGTAAAAATTCTCTCCTCTGAGCAACATGAAAGTAATCCCATTAGTTGATATATTTTGGGTTTTTTTCTTAGGCTACCAGGCCCAGTTTGTCCTGTTTTCTGATTTTAATCTGTAAAAAGCAGTAATTTCCAATTCAGGAATGGAGGTATGGGGATTCTTAAAGTTAAAAACTTTAAGGTTTCCTGAGTCTCATCTCTTTATTTTCCAAGAAAGGAAATACATATAATTACAATATTTCTTAAGGTAATGATTTAATCACAATAGTGTTTAAATGACATGTTAAGAAACTGGAAACTTTGGGTAAAGTTTTGTTATTTAAAAAGAGTAACAAGCTTTATCTAGCTTTGGGGAAAATAGTTAAATGTATTCATGTTGTAATAAATAATCTGTTCCAGCCTTAACAGGAACAGCTGATACTTCAGATAATATGTGGGCATCTCATGAACACATTTATTTAGAATTGTATTATTTCCTCTATACCTTTAGGTTGATTATCTGGCTTTCTGTTGATTCGTAGTCTTAAAATGCATTATATCAGTTATGAGTTACTGGTTAATACAACAAGGGATTTTCATTTTAGAACTATTGTTCATATAACTGAAATAATAGGCAAATTTCAATTAATTTCTGAACATAAACTTAAAAAATGTTTTTATTGATTTTTTTTTTTTTTTTTTGAGAGAGAGGAAGGGAGAGGGATAGAGAGATAGAAATATCAATGACAGAGAAACATCATGGATCAGCTGCCTCCTGCATGTTCCCCACTGGGGATCACTAGTTGAACATAAACTTTAATGTTGCTATTTGGTAGGAAAAAAGGATACTATTTTGAATTTTATGGATAGAGAAGTTGAGTCCCATGTTTGTACCAAGAATTTTTTGGTTTTATTACCAAGGTAATTGCAGAGATGGACAATAGAGAAGCTTGCAGTATTCATTTTAGACTATAAAGATATTATTCTCTAATGATTGTTCTGTTGAGTCTCATTTCTGAATTTTTACTATAACTTATCAGTATTATCATAGTGTACTGATTTCTAGTATTTTTCACTTGCATGAACTGAATGTGCAGTGATAGAGCATTGGATAAAGATTCAGAAAATCTTGGCTTAGTCTTGGCCATTGTTTGATTTTGGCAAAGTTGCCTAATTCCCTGAGGCTTACTTATTAGAAAGAATGGGTAAAATCTTGAGAATGAGTGTTGTATGCAAATGTAAATAACGTTATCAAATGAGCAAGTATTAATACTTTAGAGCCCTAGTGAGTAGAATTTGAACAGAATAGTATATTTTTTTGAAATGATTATCAGCATTCAGGTTTTTGAATAAATGATTGTAGGCATTGAAGATCTGGTAATTTTTTTCTTTTTGCCACACAATGAGAATAATATTCTTTCTTTGTAATTATATTAATTGATTTAAAATTGGCACACTGTCTTGGGTATTCAGATATTTAGAAGGACTGTTTCAGGACATTAAAAATGATACTTTATATAATTGGTTTGGCAACTACTCAAAGTATTTTCTTATTATAGAATTCATTGCCTTCATATATGTAGTGCAAAGGTAAGAGATTTTTAGCATTTTGGTAAAATTATATTTCATCCCTTTATAGCTCTATAAATAGCTAATGAAGGTTCCTTTGTGCCAGATTTAATAGGTATAGATTGATGCAATTCTGGCCTTGTCTAGTTTATTTTTATTATGTCTTCATGTGTCTTCCATACTCCAGTAGCTGCCCCTTTCCTAGTAAAATGCCCATTTCAGAACAAGAGTTAATTTCTTAGAGTTTTTCTCAGAAGAAAGCTGATTTGGGGTTCATTTAAATGATTGCTCAAGGCCGTGAAGCACGTGGTCTCTTCTGCTCAAGGCCATGAAGCAAGTGGAATTCTGGATTTGACATGTTAATTCAGACCACTGGTGTTTGAACTTTCTGCAGTGGAACCCATTTTTCAATGACAATATTATGAGAGCCCATACATAAAAACAAAAATTCTAGTTAGTAGTCAGCAGGGGAGGGTATATTTTTATTCATATCATGATGGTCCCTGAGGTACCAGGTTTGCTAGATTAGGAACATAGTTTGAAAGCCACTGATCTGAGGTATGTAATCTTTCCCATGGATGTTTTAAAGTGATAAGTGATTGAGAAATATCTTTAATATGATTGGGCTTTTATCTTCCCTGAAGGAGCTGATTTTGTTTCCTTAGCAGTCATTGACCTTCTTGTGGAAGTTATTTTGAATGTCATTTTTAGAAACCAGAGGTTCTTAGACAAGTATTTTATGTAAATAAAGAGACTATTATCTCTTGTCTTTAATACAGATTATCTTTCTTTGTAGAATTACTCCATGTCTGTATATCTTGTACGGCAGCTCACATCAGCCATGTTATTACAGAGATTAAAAATGAAAGGTATTAGAAACCCTGATCATTCCAGAGCACTAAGTAAGTAATGTTTGTAAGGTTGAGCATATGAGATGCTTTAATAGAAAAAAAAAAAGCCTCACATATACATCAATGTAGGAATAATTTAGGAACAATTATTAGAAACCTAAAATGAATATTGAATTAAAAATACTCCAAAAACACTGCCCTATAAATTGAAAAAACCTTTCTCTTACAAACTATTCCCAAGAAGATCAGTTTTAAGCCCCTACTAGTGTGATTTTGAGCCTTCTCATGAAAACTTGTTTAAATAAACATTAAGTTCATGGTAGTTTGGATGTATACATTAACTTGAGAATAGGAATCCAAGTTTTCAAAACCCCCAGTGTTTAATAGAGTATGCATTTTAAAAAATTGTAAATAATCAAAAGCTCTTTTTGCTGAAGAATGGTTGATATCCATCAGCAACAATATTTGCCTTCTGAGATGTTTTATTTTGTACTTTGCTTTGATAATGTATACTAATAGGTAGAGAGAGAAAAAAATCTAACCCAAACTGTAAATAATTCAGACCAGTAACTAAATTTAATTGATCAAGACATTTTTTGGGGAAAGAAAATATTTTCCCTCCAGTTACTTCCCTCACCGCTGAATGAACCTGAAAGGAGAAAAGAATCTATAGATTGAAAAGGGAGCCAAGTAGGGCTTTTGAAATGGTATTTTGTTTCTTATATCTTGAACCATTTCTTATCTCCTCAAACAGCATAATATTGATCTTTTTGCTTAGACTTCGAAGCCAGGGAAGCTCTTTTCTAATTTTTCTTGTCTTGCTCCAATTTTCACTGTCTCTAGTTCCAGTCCCATTCTCCCTCCCTATAATGGTGTTGAGAATTAGGCATCTGAAGAGAGTGCATATATTTATTAGCTTATATGTGCAGTAACTTGTATACATTACCTGGTGAATGAAAACTCAGACCGATTATCACATCCCTTGTAGTTTTCAGTTGTCAAAGGAAGTATAAAAATAGTTGACTTTTCTGTTTATAAATTTAGTAATTATTGAAAACAACCAAAACTCCCTAATAAAAAGTCATGAATGTATGTTAGAATAGCATTGAAACTCAGAGTACTGCTGCTTTCTAAGTTCCTTTCCTGATTGTTTTGTTCTTAAATCTTAAACAGCTTTCTGTTCTGAAATTCTTCTTACCTACAATTTTACTTTTAAAAATTTAGTTGAACATCTGATACAGAGTTTGCAATTCTTTAACCTAATACTGAAAGTATATTTCAGTTTTTAATACATTAATACCTAACATTTATTTGTTTTGCTTTGGTAGTTTCTTGACCTATTCAGAGTGTTTGGGGAAACTTTAAATAATATTATATATATTTCTATAATTCTGTTCATATGCTACAATTAATATAAAAATTTTAAATTATTTTTCCTTCTTTTTGAAGTTAAAGAAAAACTTACTGCAGATCCTGATAGTGAAATTGCTACAACTAGCCTTCGGGTATCCTTGATGTGCCCTGTAAGTAAAGCAACAAAACATTCTGGGGTGTTTTACTTTTTATAAATCACTAATTTTCCTATGAAAGTAAGTGTGGGAATGAATGATATATTATGGTAGAACTAGAGGCCCAGTTCACGAAATTCGTGCACCAGTAGGGTCCCTAGGCCTGGCCAGCGATCAGGGCTGATCTGCAGGGTGACTGGTGGGGCGATTGGGGGCCCCTGCTGGAACCCTCCTTGGCCGGCCTGGAGCCTACTGGCTGGGGGAAGCTGCTGCATTGAGTATCTGCCCTGTGGTGGTCAGTGCATGTCATAGTGACTGGTCTTTCCACCTGTCGTTCCATCGTTTGGTTGATTTGCATATTAGGCTTTTATTACATAGGATTCTAAACTTCTGTCGTTTTCCCATTTGGGAATTTCACGATTAAGCATTGTAATTTCAAAGAATGCAAACATTCTTCAGGCAGCGACTAAGCAAGAAGAGTCGTAAAAGGATAGTTGATCGTAGGGGGAGAGAGTTTTTAGGTTCAGAATAATACAGTTAATGCTATATATAATCCACAGCTAATAATAAACCTATAGAGAGAGTTGCTTGCTCCTTTTATCAAACTATCCTATATAATAAAAGGCCAGCCACCATAAGCGTAACGACCAGAATGACCAGAGACCAGAACCACCATGGCCCCTCGCTGGGCTGGCCCTGCCCCCAAGCAAGCGGTTAGGGGGGATCAGGCAGGCACACCAGCAGTTAGGGGTGATCAGGTAGGCAGACAAGTGGTTAGGGGTGATCAGGTAGGCAGGACAGTGGTTAGCAGCCGTGGGCAAACTACGGCCTGCGGGCGGGATCCGGCCCGTTTGAAATGAATAGAACTAAAAAAAAAAAAAAAGACCGTACCCTTTTATGTAATGATGTTTACTTTGAATTTATATTAGTTCACACAAACACTCCATCCATGCTTTTGTTCCGGCCCTCCGGTCCAGTTTAAGAACCCATTGTGGCCCTCGAGTCAAAAAGTTTGCCCACCCCAGGGTTAGGGGCAATCAGGTAGGCAGACGGCCCCTTGCCGGGCTGGCCCTGCCCCCAAGCAAGTGGTTAGGGGGGATCAGGCAGGCACACCAGCAGTTAGGGGTGATCAGGTCGGCAGACAAGTGGTTAGGGGTGATCAGGTAGGCAGGACAGTGGTTAGCAGCCGTGGGCAAACTACGGCCTGCGGGCCGGACCCGGCCTGTTTGAAATGAATAAAACTAAAAAAAAAAACAAACCGTACCCTTTTATGTAATGATGTTTACTTTGAATTTATATTAGTTCACACAAACACTCCATCCATGCTTTTGTTCCGGCCCTCCGGTCCAGTTTAAGAACCCATTGTGGCCCTCGAGTCAAATAGTTTGCCCACCCCAGGGTTAGGGGCAATCAGGTAGGCAGATGGCCCCTTGCCGGGCTGGCCCTGCCCCCAAGCAAGCAGTTGGGGGCGATCAGGCAGGCAGGCAGAGTGGTTAGGGGTGATCAGGTAGGCATACCAGTGGTTAGGGGTGATCAGGTAAGCAGATGACCCCTCGCAGGGCTGGCTCCGCCCCCCAGCAATCAGGGGTGATCAGGTAGGCACATGGCCCCTCGCAGGGCTGACCATGCCCCCTTGCAGGCACAGGCCATCAGCAGCGACTCTGTGGCAGGTGTGCAACCAGCCAGCGTTTGCCCCACAGAGGTAGGCCAAGGCCTGCCAAGCCATCGCACCCCATGCCTGTTGCTTGCAGAGGGAGGCCGCCGGTGGCAGGGCAGCTGGGGGTCCAGCTGCCTACAGCCGGGGGAAGGAAACCCTAGGGACCAGGCCTAGGGACCCTACCTGAGGGGTCCCAGATTTTGAGAGGGTGCAGGCCAAGCTGAGGGACACCCCCAAGTGCATGAATTTTCATGTACTGGACCTCTAATAAGTGGTAATAAAATCGCTAGGACCTAATAAATGCTAATTGATGGTTCTACTTTAATGAGTTAGAATGTATAAGGTGTCTTAATTCATTTGTAATGTACTTCTAAATTGCACAATCATTTTTATTTCATATTTCCTAACATAGAGACTATAGGGGAGAATCGGTCAGCAATGCAGATAACTCCTTCTGTGTGTTCATTACTGAGCTAATTGTGGGAGAAAATACTGAAGATTTGATAAAAAGTTTTCAGAAAGTTAATAGTCTAGTTTGAGAGAGAAAGCTAACTTACATGAAAAAGCAAAAGATTTGCCATATATAATTATGTTATTGGAGTACCAGAGAAGAGATGGGAAAGGTCAGGAATCGTGGATGAAGGCTTCTTTAAAATCAGTACTGGTGGAGGGGACCCTTTCCATATGAAAGGGACTTTATATGGAATCAGGAATTTATAATGCAGTTTAGGTGGCATTTGGTAACCAGCCATCATTATAAGAAATGTACAGGGTGGGGAAAAGTAGGTTTACAGTTGCGAGTAGCCAAAACATAGAGCTTATTCTTATATTATTAATTAATTGTATTAATTTCCATACAAACAACTCTAAACCTACTTTCTTTTTACTTTTTTTTAAAAAGTATATTTCTGTTGATTTCAGAGAGGAAGGGAGAGGGAGAGAGAGATAGAAACATCAATGATAAGAGAATCATTGATTGCCTGCCTCCTGCACGCCCCCCCTGGGGATGGAGCCTACAACCCAGGCATGTGTCCTTGACCGGAATCAAACCTGGGACCCTTTAGTCCACAGGCTGATGCTCTATCCACTAAGCCACATCAGCTAGGGCTGTAAACCTACTTTTGCCTCGCCATCTACAATTTTAAATGGAGAGAGAATTGTTTCAGAGAGAGAGAGATAGAGAAGAGAATAATTTCTCAATTTCCTATTATGTGCCCCTTATTTAACTTTCTTAGAAAACCTGTATGGGGGTTGTTCCCATTTTGCAGATGAGGAAACTAAGACTGAAAGATTGACTAATCCAAATCACACAGTAGTAACTAGTAGAACAAGGATAACAATTTTGGTCTTCTGGAATCATTTTAGTTCTCTTAACAATATACCATATTGCTACATTGGGCTAAAATAATAAATATTCTGATAATAAATCCACGAGGAGGCAGTAACAAATGCCAAAAGCTTTTTTAAAAAATAATTCATTTTTGTTGAAAATATTACATATTGCCGAAACCGGTTTGGCTCGGTGGATAGAGCGTCAGCCTGCGGACTGAGGGGTCCCAGGTTCGATTCCGGTCAAGGGCATGTACCTGGGTTGCGGGCACATCCCCACTGGGAGATGTGCAGGAGGCGGCTGATCGATGTTTCTCTCCCATCGATGTTTCTAACTCTCTATCTCTCTCCTTTCCTCTCTGTAAAAAATCAATAAAATATATTAAAAAAAAAAAAAAAGAAAGAAAGAAAATATTACATATGTCCCCTTTTCCCCCATTGAATCCCTCCAACCTGTCCCTGTCTCCCCCCCCCCCCCCCCCATCCTGTACCTACCCCAAGCCTTCAGCACCCTATTGTCTGTGTCCATGGGTTATGCATTCAAGGTCTTTGGTTGATAAGTCCACCTCTCTACCATCCTGGAAAGTGGTATTTGCAGATATTTTTATTTTGAAGCTTTTTTTTAAAATTATCATTACCTTAAACTAACATCTTTATTGAAAAAGGGATAGAATTACATGAAATTGGGATTGCTTAGAAATTGAGAATCTGTGGTTGTCAAACCCAGAGAGAAATCTGTAGTGCCAGCAGGGGAGGTGGTGGCAGAGGTCCTAGCGGGCATGTGTTTGGACCCAGGGCCTCCTATTCATAAGCTTTATGCAGACCTTCAGGTATAGGTTTTGATCCTTCGTATGATATACTTCATATCAAATGTGATAGCTTCATATTGTGATAGTTTTTTCTGTACTGATATATGTGAAAAAGTTATAAATTTATATTATGTGACAGAAGGTTCAAAATTTTGTATATCACATGCCACCATTCAGGTGAAAATGTTTTTTAAAACAACATAGACCATCTATGAAAGGACATACAAGAGATGGGTAACAGTGGTTCTCTCTAAATAGGAGAACTGGTGACAGACATGTTTTCATTGTATATGGATGTTATCCTACTTGTGAATTTATGTTACCTATTTTCAAAACATGAAAACATTTTTTTAAATTATAGGGCTATCAATGAATATTAATAAAACTAGAAGCCCGTTGCATGAAGATTTGCACAATAGGCCTTCCTTCCCTGGGCTGTTGGCACTGGTTTTCCTCCGGCACCCGGGACCCAGGCCTTTGGTCCAGCCACAGTGGAGAAGCCAAGCCTCTTATCCCCTCCTGTCGCAGCAAGGCTTGGCTTCTCCCCTCTGGCCGCAGCGAGGCTTGCCTTCTCCGCTGCCAAGCCTCACTGCAGCCGCAGCGGAGAAGCCAAGCCTCTTCAGTCTTCAGAATTCAGTCTTCGCTCCGCGCCTGTGTATGCCAATTAACCGCCATCTTTGTTGAGTTAATTTGCATAGTCGCTCTGGCTGACTTGTGGGAGTAGCGGAGTGACACCAATTTGCATGTTTCTCTCTCTCTCTTTTTTTTAAAAATATATTTTATTGATTTTTTACAGAGAGGAAGGGAGAGAGATAGAGAGTTGGAAACATTGATGAGAGAGAAACATCGATCAACTGCCTCCTGCACATGTCCCACTGGGGATGTGCCCACAACCCAGGTACATGCCCTTGACCGGAATCGAACCCGGGACCCTTCAGTCCACAGGCCGACGGTCTATCCACTGAGCCAAACCGGTTTCTGCATGCGTGTTTCTCTTTTATTAGTGTAGATGTGTAGCAGCCTTGATGGAAATAAATTATTTTGAATTTTTTTTTTTTCATTTTGATCTTCTTGTATGACTTCTTTCAGACTTTTATGACTGACTATTCCCATTGAGGTTTTGTTCTCCTTTCTGAAATGGTTTCTCATGTTTCCTTTCCTGCCTGTAGTTAGGGAAAATGAGGCTGACAATCCCATGCCGAGCGGTGACTTGTACACATCTACAGTGTTTTGATGCTGCCCTTTATCTGCAAATGAATGAGAAGAAGCCCACCTGGATTTGTCCTGTGTGTGACAAAAAAGCTGCCTATGAAAGTCTAATTTTAGATGGGTAAATATTAGCTTTGTCTCCAGTACAGCCTCATATCAATTCTCTTCTAGCATAAAGTCAAGATGTTTGTGTGTTTTCTGCTTTATTATACTCAATCTTTTTTTAAAACTGTGGTTAATGGCTCTTTTATCTTTATGATTTCTTTTGGGGGCAAGAGGTAGAGTAGTGTCCTTTTTTTTTTTTGCTTCCCAATATCATATTTCATAGCCTGTCCTAAAGAGGGCAAAGCCCACTTTTTAAGTGAGTTTAAGTCTGACTGGAAGTTCATTGATTTTATTGACCTTAAAGTACCAGTATTTTTGTTTCATTGATTTTTCTCTATTTCATTTGTTTCTTTTTTCTTTTCCCATTTGTTTACTTTCACTTTAATTTGTTCTTTTTTTATAGTTTCATTTAGATAGAAGCTGAACTTATTGATTTGCATTCTCCTAATATAGAAAGACTAGAGGCCCAGTGCATGAAATTCCTGCATATGGGGGGGGCTGTCCTCTCAGCCCAGCCTGCACTCTCTCCAATCCGGAACCCCTCAAGGGATGTCTGACTGCCAGTTTAGGCTCGATCCTGGGGATTGGGATCGGGCCTAAATGGCAGTCGGACATCCCTCTCACAATCTGGGACCTCTTGCTCCTAACTGCTCACCTGCCTGCTGGCCTGATCACCCCTAACTGCCCCCCCGCCCCCCCGCCGGCCTGGTCGCCACCAACTGCCCCCCACCCCTGGCCTGGCTGCCCCTTACTGCCCCCCTGCCCACCAGCCTGGCCACCCCTTACTGGCCCTCCCCCACCGGCCTGGTCACTCCAAACTGCCCTTCCCACTGGCCTGGTCACCTTTTACTGCCCCCCTTGCCGGCCTGGTTTCCCCCAACTCCCCCACCCCCCTGCTGGCCTGGCCACCCCTTACTGCCCCCCCACCGGCCTGGTTGCTCCCAAATGTCTCCCCCCCCCCCCAGCCCCCGCCTGCCTGGTTGCCCCACACAGACTGCTGCTCAGTTGTTTGGTTGTCCCTCACTAACCCCGCTGCCAGCCTGGTTGCCCCACGCAGCCTGCTGTTCGGTCGTCTGTCTGGTTGTTTTGGTTGTGATGGCCCCTGGCTTTTTATATATTAGTATTAGTGCTATAAATTTCCCCCAAGTATTGCTTTAGCAACATTTCACAAATTTTGTTATATTTTTACTTTCATAAAGTTTAAAATACTTGCTAATTTATTTTTGTGTTTTTGATGTGTTTTTTTTTTTTGGCCCATAGGTTGTTTGTAAATTTTCAAATATATGAGGATTTTCCAGATATTTTTCTGATGATGATTTCAAATTTAATTTTATTTTGGTCATAGGACATAATTTGTATGCTTAGTTATTTAAAAAGTTTATTGAGACTTATATTGCTATTCCTTCTTCTTTCCCCCACCTCTATGATTCTTTTTCCTTGATAATATAAGCTTATAAGTTAGATTTTGTATAATAACATTTGTTTGCTTTTGTGTATTTTATGTGTTGTATTGAAGGTTGTTCTTTACTGCAATCAATTTCTGTTTAGCCACTATTTTTTAGATGACTCAGTAAGTCATTTAACTCTTTCATTGCCCTTTAAAGATCTAAAATATAGAAGGAAGGGGGTATAATAGTTGTCCTAAAGTCTGAAGTATTGAAATACCAAAACAAACAAACTGAAGTCAGCATTACTTTTGTCTCCAATGTAATAAGTACTTCTTTGTTATAATTTCACTTTTGAACAAGGCCACTGATTACATTTTTCTACTTATTTGGTTTATAGCCTTTTTATGGAAATTCTCAGTGACTGTTCTGATGTGGATGAGATCAAATTCCAAGAAGATGGCTCTTGGTGTCCAATGAGACCGAAGAAAGAAGCTATGAAAGTATCCAGCCAACCATGCACAAAAATAGAAAGTATGTGTAGAATGTCAGCAGAGAGCAAAGCAGTGAGACTCCTGCAGCATTATCTTTATCCTTAACATTGGCCACTAGAACTTCATTAGAAGCTCAGTTTGCTAACTTTGTGTGTGTTAATTCTCACCCAAGGATATTTTTTCCCCCTTGATTTTTAGAGAGAATGAAAGGGGTGAAGCAGTAGGGAGAGACAGAGAGAGAAACATTGATGCGAGAGTGACCACATCAGGGGTCCTCAAACTACGGCCCGCGGGCCACATGCGGCCCACCAAAAACATTTATCCGGCCTGCCGGGTGTTTTTGCCACCGCTGTGTGCATAGGAATTTGTTCATAGTTTTTTTTTAAACTATAGTCCGGCCCTCCAACGGTCTGAGGGACAGTGAACTGGCCCCCGGTTTAAAAAGTTTGAGGACCCCTGGACCACATCAATCAGTTGCCTTCCGCATGTACCTTGATCAGGGCTGGGATCGAGCTTGCAAATGAGGTATGTGCCCTTGACTGGAATCAAACCTGTGACCTTTCAGTCCGAGGGCCAATGCTATAACCATTGAGCAACCGGCTAGGGCTGCTAACTTTATCTGTTTTTTTTTTGTTTTTTTAAAATATATTTTACTGATTTTTTACAGAGAGGAAGGGAAAGGGATAGAGAGTTAGAAACATCGATCAGCTGCCTCTTGCACACCCCCTACTAGGGATGTGCCCGCAACCAAGGTACATGCCCTTGACCGGAATCGAACCTGGGACCCTTGAGTCCGCAGGCCGACGCTCTATCCACTGAGCCAAACCAGTTAGGGCTAACTTTATCTTTTTGATCATCTGTTACATAGGTAATTTCCTCCAACTGGTTTTTATTCTTCCTTTTAAGAAATGTGCCCAAGTTTATATACCATTCTTTAACCAGCCTTTTAATAGTTATTTTTCATATGTAAAGTAAATGAAAAATAAATCATCAAATTATTTTAATATATGGTGTTTGTTACAAAATGAAAAGTTATAAATGACATTTCTATGGACAGTTTTTCAGAATTGTTTTTAGAGTACCTGTTTTGGGGTACCTGTGAAGGTGTGGTTAGAGAGATTACTTCATCCATTAAGGGAGGGCAGAGGAAGGTGATCAAAGGTTAGTTGCTAAAAAAAAGTGGAAAGGAATTTTACCATTGCCTTGGTTGCGTAGGGTGAGTACTAATCCTTCAGTTCCCTGCAGCTGTCCACACTGAGTGGGGAAACAAAAGGCAGTTTGAGTAATTGAAACCCATAGGTAAACTTAACCCTTTGCGGTTGTATTAAATTTGGACATGGGTGTCATACTGGTCAGAATTAATTTCCATTGAAAGAGCAGTGATACATAACATGCAAGATTATGAAGGATAAACAAGATTTATTAATTCTTTTTTGGAACTACGTCACTACTAGTAGAATCACTACAAACATTATCGCTTTCTACGTCAGAGTCAGTATTCAAGGTGCCAAAATAAAACTCTTCATCGTTACTTTCAGATTCGCAGTACACTTCTTTCGGTAACTTTCTTTTTGCCATTTTGGAGTATTATTTTGAAATATCTTAACAAGCGAGAATGCCTAATTACAGTTAAAAGTAATTTGTAAAGCTTTACTTGAAATTCTGCAAAGTATCTCCGAAGCTTGTCAATTTCTTCACTCTCAAAAGGCGACTGACTTGTCACGGTGTTTTGCATGGCGAGTGTGGAACGACCGCGTTTGTTTATATTGAGTTTCGATATCTCCGATTTGTCTGGGCAATGTTTTGGTTCGTGACAAGGTTGCTTAGACACTTAAGAGCTTTCAGAGAAATTATGAACTGATACATGAATGAATAGAGTTAAGATTCGTACGGCTCCTTGCTGTGGTGACTGAGAGCAGACATACGACCGGAACGGTAAAAAAGCTTTGGTGGCTGAGAGTAGACAAACGACCGCAAAGGGTTAAAACTTGTTTTTATCTGACATAGGCTACTCATTGCATTTGAGTTTTGTTTTGACTGTAATTGATGTTGTAATAATGTAATGGATAATAGATGTTCAGAGTAAGAAGAGAGGAAAAGTTCAGGATTAATGTCAATGTTAATCGATCTCCTGTGATTGTTACTGAACCAATGGGTGGATGATGAAGGAAAAGTTTCCCGCTTTGAGAGAAATAGTGATTTAGTTGATTACTTGCTGCTGCTTTTTCATTATCAACTAGCATTCATTTACTGCTAAACAGATTGCAGGGCACAATATACTTTCTATGAAATGGTGAGCGTATGAGACTATCATAATGGGCAGAAAGGAGAACCTAGGTGATTAGTAGACAGACAGTTTATAAGAAAAATTTTAAATGTCTGAATAACAAGTGAGAAGTTTGGGGTTTTTTCATGGTGAAAATTTTTGTCAAGTTCTGGTGAAGAGTCTATGCATTCTTTGACATGAGCACCCTTGCTTTGCTAGAATGGAAAATTCTGATTCTGACTGAACACTGCAACAAGTCTGTGAAAACACAGTGACACCACGTATTCTTGTTCATGGCCGGAGATCAGCTCCCTAACTCCAGATGTCTGTCTATAAAATGACTGCTTACTTGCTAAGACACCATGAGCAGCGGGGTATGTGCATATCCATTGGTAGTGCCAGGGAGATAACTAAGAGCATGTTTGAAGGAGGCTTTTGGCTCTCTGTCAAGGCATAGAGCTTACTCTGTCTCTCCAGGTTAGTAGTCATTTTACAGAGAGATGTCTGGAATTAGGGAGTTGGTCTCTTTCTGTGGGACAGGGTATGTAGCTTTACTGGCATGCTGCACAGTTAAGACTCCTGTGGCTAGAGTTTGTGTCACAGCCTTAAGTTTTTTTCTTTTTTCCTGTTCCCTACATGCAGGTTCAAGTGTCCTCAGTAAGCCTTGTTCAGTGACTGTAGCCAATGAGGCAAGCAAGAAGAAAGTGGATGTTATAGACCTAACAATAGAAAGCTCTTCTGATGAAGAGGAAGACCCTCCTGCCAAAAGGAAGTGCATCTTTATGTCAGAAACACAAAGCAGCCCAACCAAAGGGTTTGTTAATTTATAGTTTACTACTTTTTATTACACTTGGAACTGATTGTTATTGGGATAGGTTTGTACACGTCTCTTTGATAGTTACATAATCATAGAATGCTATTTTAATTTGCCTTTGTTTAGTTGAAGTATTTTCAATATTTAAAAGAAGAAAATATTCCCATCTTTGGGAAGTAAGAGTTGAAATCTTCTCACGTGTAAGTATTTCATGTAAGTAGCAAATTTGGCATCACAGACCAACAGAAAGAAGCCTATGGAATTGGGAATCTGACAAGTGTGGATTCCAAGTTTGATACCATTGCTTACTCATTCATGATGTTGGATGAAATATTTAACTTGCTTGAGCTTCGTGTTTCTGTTCTGTATAGTGGGGTTAGAAAATGCCTACCTCATGAGATTTTTTTAAGATTTCAGTAAGTTAATGAAAGAACTTAGCCTCAGTGTCTGGCAAATCAGAAGGAATAGAAATGAAAAACCAGGAAATCTTATTTTACATGTTAGTCTAGAAATTTTGTGAGCAGTTATTTTTTAAGAGGCACTGTTTTAGTAAAACTTATAGTTTTACAGAGCACCAGAGGTAAAAAGCATTCTGCCTACAGATAACCACTGTTAACATTTTGATAGTGATTCTTCTAACCTCTTCCTTGCATACTCTACTATAATCCTTAAATGCAATCATGTAGTACAGTGATGGCAAACCTATGACACGCGTGTCAGAGGTGACATGCAAACTCATTTTTTTGGTTGATTTTTCTTTGTTAAATGGCATTTAAGTATATAAAATAAATATCAAAAATATAAGTCTTTGTTTTACTATGGTTGCAAATATCAAAAAATTTCTATATGTGACACGGCACCAGAGTTAAGTTAGGGTTTTTCAAAATGACACGCCGAGCTCAAAAGGTTCGCCATCACTGATGTAGTATCTATCAGAAGAAAATGGCACCTTAATTTAAGACATTTAGAAAACCTCTGATATTTTTGTACATGAAAAGATCATTTTAAATATTATGTCCCTACCCTATTCCCTGGAAATTGAATGTTGTTTTGTCATTAATATGGAGGTATTCTAAAGATAGGAAACAAAAAATAGAGGTTAATAATGTATTTCTCTGGATTAAAGATCATTAGGAATTGGTTGCAAAATTATATTAATATTTTTATGATTGTAAAGTGGGAGGGAGCACATGATTAATTTCAGGCTTTAGGATAACAATTCAAGTTAACCCATTTTTAGATATTTAAGTGTGGACCAAATGTGATAAATTCAGTGATCCAGTATACATTCTAGAATACTAATATTCACTGTCTTGCAACATTCTAGCAATTTATCTTTGTACTATGAAATAATGAATAAGACTATAAAATTTAAAAAATATATGTGTACACATTGATAATGTATATATACATATGCCTGTGTATTTGCCAATTCTATGAGGAGGCAGCAACATGTCAACAGCTTTTTTTTTTTTTTAAGAATTCTTTATTGTTGAAAATATTACATATGTTCCCCTTTTCCCCCCATTGACTCCCTCCAGCCTCCATCCTCCCCCCCACCCCCCGGCTCCGTCCCTACCCCAGGCCTTCAGCACCCTGTTGTCTGTGTCCATGGATTATGCATTCAAGGTCTTTGGTTGATTACCTCCTACCCACCCACCCTCACCCCACCTTCCTTCTGAGATTCTGCACTCTGTTCCATGCGTCCATGTCTCTGGGTCCATTCTGTTCATCAGGTTTTTTTGTTACTTAGATTCTACATATGAGTGCGATCATGCGATACTTCTCTTTCTCTGACTGACTTATTTCACTTAGCATGATACTCTCCAGGTCTCTCCATGCTGTCTCAAAGGGTAAGAGATTCTTCTTTTTTACAGTTTTTTTTAATCTATTCATCTGTTGATGGGCACTTGGGCTGTTTCCAGATCTTAGCTATTGTAAATTGTGCTGCTATGAACATAGGGGTGCATACATTCTTTCTGATGGGTGCTTCAGGTTTCTTAGGATATATTCCTAGAAGTGGGATCACTGGGTCAAATGGCAGATCCATATTTAATTGTTTGAGGAAACTCCATACTGTTTTTCATAATGGTTGCATAAGTCTGCATTCCCACCAGCAGTGTACTAAGGTTCCCTTTTCTCCACATCCTCGCCAGCACTTGTCATTTGTTTATTTGTTGATGGTAGCCGTTCTGACAGGTATGAGATGGTACCTCATTGTCGTTTTGATTTGCATCTCTCAGATGACTAGTTACTTTGAACATTTTTCATATGTCTCTTGGTCATCTGTATGTCCTCTTTGGTGAAGTGTCTGTTTAGGTCCTTTGCTCATATTTAAATTGGATTGTTTGTCTTCCTTTTGTTAAGTTGTATGAGGTCCTTATGTATTTTGGTATTAATCCTTTATCAGATGTATCATTGCCAAATATGTTCTCCCATACAGCGGGCTCCTTTTTCATTTTGTTGATGGTTTCTTTTGCTGTGCAGAAGCTTTTTATTTTGATGTAGTCCCATTTATTTTATCCTTAGTTTCCTTTGCTTTAGGAGATATATCTGTAAACATATTGCTATGACAGATGTCTGAGATTTTGTTGCCTATGGTTTCTTCTAAGATTTTTATGGTTTCATGACTTACCTTTAAGTCTTTTATCCATTTTGAGATTATTCTTGTGTATGGTGTAAGTTGGTGATCTAGTTTCACTTTTTTGCATGTATCTGTCCAATTTTCCCAGCACCATTTATTGAAGAGACTCTCTTGACTCCATTGTATGTTCTTGCCTCCTTTGTCAAATATTAATTGAGCGTAATAGCTTGGGTTGGTTTCTGGGTTCTCTGTTCTGTTCCATTGATCTATATGCCTGTTTTGTGCCAGTACTAGGCTGTAATCAAACTTGAAATCTGGTATTGTGATTCCCCCAACTTTGTTTTTCTTTCTCAAAATTGCTGCAGCTATTTGGGGTCTTTTTGGATTCCATATAAATTTTTGGAGTATTTGTTCTAGCTCTGTGAAATATGCCATTGGTATTTTAAGACACCACTGTACTCGGACCAGCCTACCATTGGTATTTCAATAGGGATTGCATTGAAACTGTAGATTTCGCTTGGGTAGGATAGACATTTTAATGATGTTGATTCTGCCAATCCATGAACACGGTATATTTTTCCACTTGTTTATATCTTCTGTCTCTTTTTTCAACATCCTGTAGTTTTCTGAGTATAGGTCTTTTGCCTCCTTGGTGAAGTTTATTCTTAAGTGTCTTAATTTTTTGTTGCAATGGTAAATGGGATTGTTTGTTTAGTTTCTCTTTCTGAGAATTCATTATTGGTGTATAAAACAGCTATTGATCTTTGGGTGTTGATTTTGTATCCTGCTACATTGCCAAATTTATTTATTAAATCTATTAGTTTCTTGGTGGACTCTTCAGGGTTTTCTATGTACATTATCATATCATCTGCAGATAATGAGAGTTTTACTTCCTCCTTTCCAATTTGGATGCCTTTTATTTCTTTTTGTCTAATCACTGTGGCTAGGACTTCCAGGACTATGTTGAATAAGAGTGGTGAAAGCGGACATCCCTGTCTTGTTCTTGTTCTTAGGGGAAATGCTTTTAGTTTTTGCCCATTGAGTATGATGTTGGCTGTAAGTTTGTCATATATAGCCTTTATTATGTTGAGATATGTTCTCTCTATTCCCACTTTGCTGAGAGTTTCTATCCAAAATGGGTTTTGGATTTTGTTGAATGCTTTTTCTGCAGCTATTGATATGATCATGTGATTTTTGTCTTTCAATTTGTGTTGTATCACATTTTGTTGATTTGCAAATGTTGTATCAGCCATGCATCTCTGGAATAAATCCCACTTGATCATGGTGTATGATCTTTTTAATATATTGCTGGATGCAATTTGCTAATATTTTGTCGAGGATTTTAGCATCTATGTTCCACAAAGCTGGGGCCTGAGGGAAGCTAGCTGGGGTCCTGGGTGTCTGTGGGTGGCCGGAGGGAGGGAAGCCTGGGTCTCAGGTGCCAGAGGAGAGTCAGCGCTGGCAGCCCAGGGGAAGGAAGGCCTACTCTTGCACGAATTTTTGTGCATCGGGCCTTTAGTATACATATAAAAGCCTAAGCTACCGAACGACCAAATGACTGATCGCTATGATGTGCAGTGACCACCAGGGGGGAGATGCTCAATGCAGGAGCTGCCCCCTGTTGGTCAGTGTGCTCCCACAGCCAACCTCCTGCGGCCAGCCAACCTCCTGTGGTCCCTCCCCCTGGCCAGCCAGCCAACCCCCTGCGGCTCCAATCAGCCCGCCCTGAGGAATACCACCTGTGCTCGAATTCGTGCACCGGGCCTCTAGTATGCAATAATTAGATGTGACCATGATGACAGTGTGTTGGGATGTTGATCTGACTCCTCTACAGGTATAAGTAAAGGGGCGGGGGAGGAAAGTGAGTTTTGTTGTTTCCTGTACATCTAATCCAAATTGAATGGTTAATTCAGGATCAAGACAAAATAAAATCTCCATTGTGTGATATCAAAAGAAGAGAAGGGGAAGCAGGAGGAAAGCATGTTATTTATTCATTTTTGAGACTAACTCAGTTGCCAGCAGTCGTATATGTACTCTCAGTAATGCTTCATTTTGCACATTTTCCAGTGATATCTATTGATAAACTAAAGAATAACACCTAGACAGGAGCCTCATGTCATGATGCAAATTAGTTTTAGGGGATTCAAGTGTTTAAGTCAGTTATTATTTAGTGGTTTGAGATCTAAATAGAGACTATGAAATAGTTTTGTTGTTTGTAGAGTATGAAGAGTGTCATGCAACTCTGTCATCATTTATTGTTAACTCATATTTAATAATCTGAGCAATAAGAGGAAGTGTTTCAAACAAGAGAAAGGACATCATCTAGAGGTCCTACTTGACATCTTAGTTTAGCTTGTGACCATGGTTCTACCTTAAATTTCTATCTATTTTATTTTCTTTGTCTTTATTGTGGTCC